TCCCAGCAAGGCAACAAATTGCTTTAGGAGGCAAATAATTAATGTGAGCAGAAAGAGCAGTATCTAGCGATGAGATTCAGTTCCCGCAAGATGCAAGCACTTCCTCCGAAGAGCTGAAGACCCTTTTAGGAGCATACCCCAGCTATATGGGTGTTGGCATTTTTGGGTCTTGTATAGCCAGATAACCCAAGATCTGGTTGCATAGGTGAAGCTTGAAACTAGTCTTAAAATGGCCTATGAAAAACCATTGCCCCGGAAAGTATTTTTTTTTTCCTAATATCCAATCTAAACCTCCCCTGGCACAGCTTGAGGACGTTACCTCTTGTCCTAAATTGATTTTATTATTTTCTTAATTTATTATTTTCATATTCAATTATGAATTCAAATATCTAGTAGCATCTACACACTCTTGACAGAATCAAATTAAGACATGCCATACTTGATGGCCCTGTAAATAAAAAGTTCTCTTCACCACTTTTTCGATCAATTAATATCTATTAAATAATAGGGGTAGAAAAAAAGAACACATTATTCCTTCAATTGTGCTGGGTTGTCTGAGAGATAAGGATGACAAAAATGTGCTTGAAAGCTTATTGTATAAAAAAATAAAACAAGTCATTGTTCAAAGTTTTGGTGCAAGACTGTTCAAGGAAAGCAGAAGTAAATCTTTACATTCACATGCACTTACATGATTTTTTTTCTTTGAGGTACATTTTGTGATAAAGCTATTGAAGCATGAATATTTTGCCCTCTTATAACAGTGCTTCAACTCTGTGGAGGAAGACAGTGTATGCAAAATGTGGTACCAGTTGAACACTTTATCAAAGGTTGGTTGAGCTGGAAGTCTAACCAACAGCTGCTTCTTGGCAATACAGTTGCTGGGTGTGTAACCACATGTAACTGTGTGAAGTCTTTCAGTTCTGCGTTTTTTTCCCCTCATATTCTAGGAAAAATAGTAAATTATACAAGACTTCATTTAAACTTTTGTGAATTCAGGGCTTACTGGCATGCTGGACATTACATTTTCTTGGATTTTTGCAAATAGAAAAGGAAGTTTTGGTGTGATTTGGTTTCTTTTCCTCTAGAATAACTGGAAGAGCCAGCCAGAAAATTGCTGCATCTGGTAGCAGTGCCTGTGGAAGTAACAAGTCACCCATGTATGTGTAATAAGCTAAGATCAGTTTGAAATGTCTAACCTCTACAGAGTAGCAGGATTTCCATTTCTTAGTAAAAATTCTAATGTCAGTTTATATCTCTGAGTGATGGAAAGTGGCCCTTAACAATGGTTAGGACAAGAAAACTCATTCTTTCCTCAAAAAATTGACATACTTGTGTGCTTGATTTTTGTTTCTATCTTCTGTATTTTTTGCATTTGAATTGAAATACACACTTTTTAATCATTCTTGCTTACAAAAACTTTTTTTTTAGCCATGACTATTGCAGTTAATGATACCTTCTCTAAAGAAGGGTAAACCAAAATAAAATTAATCTTCTGAAGCAGTTTCTCTGTAGCAGACAATTTCTTGTATTATGTCGATATTCTGAAAGTGCAAAGCAACACAAATTCAGTGATTTCTAGAGGACGAGTCCAATTATAGCGGTCAGGGAAATAACCTTTAAAGCACATGGCCAAAACCTGAACCTCTACAACAAAGTTCTGACTTTACAGAAGCGTGAAGCAGAACCAAGTGCAGAAATATTTGCTGAAAAGCCTTTCAAAGGTAATGTGGTACATGTATGACAGAAAACTGACCCAAAGTTCAAGATATAAGTTGCTTTGATTTTATTTAAGTTTTTATATTTACTTTTTCTCAGCTGGTAAAAGATTTTTACTTGGTTTGTTCTGCTTCTACTTCCAGTTTTAAATTTTCCCCTACCCTGCCTTGCCTTTCCACTACCAACCAACAACTGCTTCTTCCATCAGTTGCTGTACCTAATTTTCTGCTTTAAAACAGGCCAGGTGAGAACTGTTCAGATTCCCATTTATTTACAGTGCTGAAACACACAGTGTCATCACTTCATGCATCAGGCAGCTGCTTATGAACAGTGAGGTTTTACACAGCTGCTCCTAGGTAACGTATGCAAGGTACCTGAACTCATAGTAGTCATTTCTCTTTACTGCAGATCTCACAATGCTCACCCCTCCTTCCCCTGCAGCAAAATGGAAAAAAGGGCGAGGAGAACACTTGAAACCTTGGCATTCATTTTAAAAAGCCAGAACGTGCAGCCCTTATTTTTGGTGAGGAAAGCTTGTAAACATAGGAAAGCTTGTAAACATAGGAAAGCAAATCCCAGACACTTGGTATCAAGAAGGCAAATGAAAGGACTCTGAATTTTATAAATATTTTATTTAACTATTTTAGCAATTTGAGGTGTGTATATATATACCCTCACATTTTAGCAGAAAGCTTCTCTTCCTTCAGCAATATTGTTCCTGTTGCTGTAATAACCACCTGTATTCAAGGCAAGGTGCACAGACATTGACCTTGGAAGAGGCTGAGCACCTGTGGAGGATACCATGGGAATCTCTGCTATTTATTTTAGCTAGGAAGGTACATCAGTTGGAAATTAGGTCAGCACCTCTGAGGAGGTTTGGGGATCTAGGAGCTTTTGGGTGGTCTCTGTGCTGGGAATGAAAATGGTGCCATCTCCTGTGCTGACAGCACATTGATCTTCCTCGTGGCTGCACAGCCAGTCCTAGGTTTCTTTAAAGTGACCAAGAGGACACATAGCTGCATGATACTGTGTGGGCTCTCTCTTCACTACCCCTTCTCCCTCCTACCCTTGGATGTTTCATTTAATAGGTTTCTGCTTGGATTTTGTTTAGCAAGTTTTCCTGGCTATAGGAAGTGATTTCCTAAATCCAAATACAGGTTAATATTGGTGGGTTTGTTATTTATGTGGTATTTCGTGCTATGACAGTTTTTTCGAAACTATGAGAGAGACAATGATCATGTTTTTCACTACCTGATACTTTCCTGTTCAACATAATGCAAACATTTGTAGTAAGGTCAGTTTGAAGAATTTTTATGAGATGGCATATAGAAATGGGTTGTTTGATAAAGAATGGTGAAACACTTCCTCAAAATCAAAGAAAGTTATTATTTTAAAATAACTTCATAATTATAATTACATTTTAATTTCTAATTTAGTCTTCAGTTCCAAAGCATCATCTAAACCTAAGACAAGTTCAGGTGCCTTGCTTTTCTACAGTCATTGACTCTACGGAGGAAGTGAAGTACAATAGAGAAGTTAATTGACCATACAAGGTGTTTGCAGTAATTTTATTGCTAACACTGAAAAAAATTAATTATAGTTTTAAACCAGCTTCCCCCAATTTGGGAAATTATCCAAGCTGTTAAAATAACGATAGCAGTAGATTTCAGAAGACCATGATTTGATCATCAAGCACAGGGTGAGGCGTCCTGCTGTACACGTGCCTCCGAGTGCAAGAGTTTTAAAGGGGTGTAAAAGTTGATGAGGGAGGAGAACGGGCTGGGGTAGTTCAGAAAATGCGAAGCCCTACACTTGTAACCCCCTTTTAAGGGCTCAACTACTAGCCATCTAAGGCACTGAAACCCTTTAAAGCGTTGTTGTTTCAGTCTGTCAAAATTCAGTGTACTGATTTGAAGTAAGGCTAAGCTGCAGGCTTTAGAAGTCAGCACAGACCAACAAAGTCAGTGTTTTACAGGCAGCCAAGAGCTAAAAATATACGGGGGTGAGTGGAGCAGGCAGTCGTGTGCTCCGCTGATGGGGAGAGTGATGGAGCCTTCCTGACAGGGATTTGTAGTAGCAGAGCTTCACTGATTAAAAGGCCAGGTGTTGTGTGTGTGAGGGCTTGTGGACTAAAGAGAAAACAAGATATCCTGTGTGCTTGAAGGAAAGGGCAGAGGGCTTTGTATCACATTTAAAAACAGGAATTTGACTACTTGGGAATGTGTGCCCAACAAGTCGTGTCAAAACAATAAAATGCTGTCCCTTTTACATCAAATACGAGTTGTATGGATGACTTCAGGGCTTAAATTTCTGTGGCAGGAATTATTAGAAGCATATGCTGAATGCCAGTTAAATCAGTTAAATTACTGATTAAAAGTTGAATTAGTTTTCACAGACAGAGAGAAGAAATGCTGTTCTGTGGAGGTGAAGGGAGAGGTTTCCATAGGGTTTAACAGCATAACAACATGTTTCCTAATGAGATTCTTGCTGATCTTAGTGCCATTACAACGAATGCTGAGGTATCCATATAGGAGTAAGAACAGTGCAAAGAACATTACCTGCCAGTGTGAGCTGCTTAGCACTCGTTCTCATGAGAATTTTGTATAGGCAATATATTCAGAAGAATCTGCCATCAAGTAACACACAAGGAAATGTAATTCACTAACACCATGTATGATTTTGGGCTAACCTTTTTTATTTCTTTTCTCCCTTGCCTCCTCGTACAGAGAGTACCTTTCTTTCCCCTTTCATTTTTGTGAGTTGGCCACTTCCATTACTTTCTTATTTCTGCTGAGGCTGGTAAGCTGGTTTGATGCATTCAGCAGTCAAAAGTGCAGTTCTGTGTGCATTTGTGTTGGCTGAGTAAGCAAAATGAAAGAGGCTGACTCTGAAAGTGAAAAGGTGATTTACGCTGGTGTCATAGAGCTGTGCAGTAATAAAACACAGGGATTGTTGGACACACATTATTTGTACAATTATATAATTATAAACAATATAATTGGAGGCAGTTGAGCTTGAATGCAGCAGGCTGTTATTTAGCAATCATCTCTTTCAAGGCTCATTAAACGCAGATTTATACACAAAATAAAAGCTTTCCACTATAAAGGCTAAATATGTAGTGGCATTTATTCCTCAAAATGTAATACATAGATCTAAAGCTGTCAGCATTTATAACGGATTTTGTCAGTGGTTATAAATGAAGTTGTTCAGTGGGTATGACAATACCAAGCCCTCTGCCTTTATTTAAGGCATTACTTCTCTGACTTCTTTTTATGTCCATTTAGAAGACATAAAGAGCCTGCACACAGAGCTGTGATCTTGGATTTTGAAATAGCAAGGACCCTACAGATGGTGTTCTGAAAGGTAATGAAAACCTCTTAAAAATCATCAGTATTTTGGTCCTATGTTAATCCATTAAAAACACATAATTCTGAACTGATGAATGAGAAGAAAATTAAGAAGCTGAAATATTTTGTTGCTGCTACCCCAAGTCATTTAGGGTTTTGGATTGTTTATGACATATCTAGTTTTATGGCCTGAAGTTAAATAAATTTGTATTAAAAAAAAATGAAGGGAGGAGAATCTTATGAGCTGAAAGGAAGAATAACACAGAATTACAAACTCCTAAGGTGCAGAGACCTAGAGCACATATAGTGGTACAGTCTGACTGAAACTTTTAATAGTTGACAGAAGTTTGCTACTTAAATGTGTGTATATATACGTAAAGTGAAATTTAGGTGCTTAAATATTTTTCATCAGGCTTTTTGGTCATCTAGAACCCTCACTGCATTGCAGAGTCATGAAGCAGCAACAAAAATAGCTAAGAAACATTCTTGAAGGAGAGCCTGCAGGCCTCATATCTGAGTACGGCTCTGTGAGAGTACAGCTCAGCACTACAGAATATCTCATCCATGTGTGCTAGAGACACCTCTGTATTTGTTTCAATCCACAGGTGAATTTTTAAGTGCTTCATTTTAATGTTCTCCCTGACATGTCAATTAACTCCAGTCTCTGTTTGTAATTCTGTTCAGTGTGTTCAATTTTCATTCCTTCTTTAAATGATTTGCAGCAGACTGGTAGATGCAAGGCTCCTGTGAGTTTCAGCATGCTTCTGATCACACAAATGGTCTTGCATGATAAAGCCACTGCATCACTGTTTTCAGCATATGGTACCTGACCTCAGCAGTTTGTGGCTGTCAACCTGTTAAGAAGTTACTGCATTTTACATCAGTAGCTTTCACTTTGTTATGTCAAAAATGTGTCTGCACAATAATTGCAGTTTGAGTTGTTATGATACTGGAAAAATTAATATAGTATGAGTTATTGTAGTTAAATGTTTTGAATGCATATAAACTATTCTGGTGTTGATGCCTTTAGCAACTGTATCTTAGTTTTAGCCTCTGGTAACTGTGATGCAGAGCTGTAATTCAGGGCCATCTTCCTTCCCCGACTTCTGCCTTGTTTGCTGATTTATCCAAATGTGTTAACTCACGATGTTTCTCAGTCATGTTAGTGAATTAACAAGGTCTGGCTTCTTGTAACACTGTTCTAAAATGCTGCATTCTTTTCCAAGTTTGGAGATAAAGCATTCCCAAATGTAAGCCATGAAATTCAAATCTTGCTTGATAAAGCTGGTTTTGTTTGCTTTGGGGGGGGGGGGGAATAAAAAGAAAAATGTATTTTCTGTAACATAGGGACAGCTGCTCTAGCAGTCTTCACTGGCTCCACTGTAAAATGGCCTTACAATGTTACCACAATGATTTGGTAGAGGGGCTTTTTTGCTTTCTTTCTGCCCTTTATGCAAATGCTAATTCCCACACAACATTCAAAGCAGAGGAGATCACATGCTTATTAACGTAAAGACTTTCAGGTTTCAATCTTCAATGGTGAACTACTGTTGCCTGATAAGTTGCAAGAGTACCTCAAGAAATTAGGTTGTGTGATTTAATTTCTTTGTGGACATATGTTTTGAAAATGCCTACTCATTTGTGTGTTCTGCAGAATGAGTGGAAACTGCTTAAACAATCTAACCAGCTAATCTCCTAGGTTTGGGTTGTGGGTTTGTTTTTTTCTGTTTCAGAAGACCATAGATAATGTACCTCAGTTGGAAACAGCCTTGGAAAAACTTCTATTGCTCATGCTCATTCTGTATCTTCTGAGTGCATACCTTGGATCCTCAGCCTTTTAACTTTTCAATTATGTTAAACTCCATTTTAAATTAAAATAGTTATGCTAATCAACACTCCCTCTTTTGTTTATATTTAAAGTCCTCTCCTTTCAAAGAAATAGCCAGTAGTCTTCTGGTGTGCTGGATAAAAGCAGTAATCCATATCTAGTGCTTTATTGGCGTTTGCTGTTTTTCCTAGCCATTAAAGTGAAAATTTATCTTGGTTGATCACTACAGTAGAAAATACTGGCTTGTACAATGTGCAAAAAATTAAAATTAGACCCCAAATCAAGGATTCATCTTTCTATATGTGCCTTGGTTTTTTGTTTTGGCTTTGAGTTACTGTCTCATGATGCACCACTGCTATGGCACAGGAGTTACTATCGCTGTATCACAGGGTTTTACCACCCTATGGACTGGCATAAAAAAGAAGCAGCCCCATGGGATTCCTCTTCAAATTAATGCTAGTAACATCCCCCCAAAGTGTCCAGTCCCTTGGAAGCCACTGACAGGGGCATCTCCACCACAGGGTCTTTGGCTTCCATGATTTTTGGTGGATGTCTTTCTTTTCCATGAGGAGGAGCAGTTTATCCTCCCAGACATCTAGTTTTGCTCTGCTTAGCCCATCATGACTGGCTTATTGGGAAGCTCTGCACAGGAGCAGGGCAGTGATTGAACAAGCATGTGTCTTTAGAGGCAGCTTGATATCTGAGCCATTGCTGTTTCCCATACTTGAAACAGGATATTAATGTTTTGTCTCAGACATTGTGGAGTAATAAAGTGGAGGGTCTTCAGATTGTTACTTGGTACATACAAAATATATGCTGTAAATGCAAAACAACCTTAAGAAGAAAATGGCATGACATAGCATGCCAAATAGTTCTTATTACCCACTGAGCAAATTACTCTTTTTGGAAGCTTTAACTCTTTTAAGAGCTCAGATGCTCTTTTTTGTGACTTGCACTTTTTTCTGATTGCATTCATATCAGCTTTCATAGAGTACATTTCCTAGTCTTAAGGTCTAGTCCAAAGATAAGATATTCCCTGTTGTAAACAGAAGTACTGTAGAAAAACAGCACTGAGCACATCTAATAAGATTCATTCAAGGACCTTTCACCTCATTAGTATTGCATCATTGCATGCTGTGCACTGAAAGGTGCTGGGCTTTTGAAAGAAAGAAGCAAAAAGAGAGATTGAGTCATGAACTCTGTCTTGATCTAAAATGTTATTTCAGTTCCATATATAAGGAAATGCAAGGTTTGAAATTTAAAGAAGAAAAATTTGTATTAAACTTAATGTGTGAATTTTCAACATAATCTTTTACCTAGATGAACATATATGTCAATTATTAAATAGGTTGCTACTATATTTCCATTATACTGAGGTTGATTCATAAACCTTCCTCTAATCAAAAATGCAAACACAGAAAGACACGGTAGATTAACAACATAGTGAGTAACATTCCTCAAGACACTATGGATCTTCATGCTTACAAAAAGGATGCGTTTCCTTCAGTCTTTAGCTAATAGATCATAAAGACATAGTAGATGTGCCAGGGTTTATCCTGCAACTCACCTTTTAAAATATTCTGAGATCCTCATAGGATAGGGAAAGCCCTTCTCCTTTAAGGCAGTTACTAGGGCAGAGTCCGCTCAGATGTCTGGACTCCCTGCTGAAGTCTGCAGGATTTGTGCAGCTCCAGGGAAAAGCAGAGACCTTTCTGAGAACAGCAGGGTACTAAGGAGCTGGTTTCATTTCCTACTCCTAATAATTATAAGAAGACAGAGGTTTGACTGCTTCTAGAGCCTAATACAAATATTTTTTCAAAGGTATTCAAGCCACAAAACTAAGGCCATATAAAACAAAATGAAGTATAGCTCATGGGAAGCAGGTGGATCAGCTTTGGGTTGTTTGTTTGAAAGCAGTAGATGCATGTAAGCTGAGCTGCAGAGCATTGTCCAGCTGGCTTCAAGCTCATCTGTTTTAATGATTTAAATGCTCCCTAGAAAAGTTGTTGTAATAGCAAACAAGTGATTCAAATCAGCAGAAAGAGCTAATTGTGTAACTCGTATGAAGGTGTGTGTGACAAGGCAATTTGCTGGCAGGCAGTATCAGAAACTTGATGGTCTTTAAATGGTCCAGTAGAAAGATCCTCCTCCCTAGATCATTTATTCAGTTCTGCATCTCTTCCTCATTGTAGCATGAAAGCATGCTCTGACAGCATTATTCCTGAGGAAATTTCCTGATGAATTATAAAACCAGATTGCTGTTTTTTTTCCCTCATGGAATGTAGCAGTGTTAGTTTTTACTTTCTTGTTTGCACTTGGGTATGTGTCAACATGGTTCGTCGCAAAACAAACAAAACCATGGAAATAATCCCCTCTCTCAACTCTCCCAAGTAACTGCTTTCTTTATTTTTTTCCTTATATCCTAAAATATTGATGCCTATAATCCCTGCCCAAGGAAAGAACAGGAGGCCTAAAGGGTATCTCTTGCAATTCAGGCACTGCTATAGCTCCCTATCAAGTTAATGGAAGTTCTGCCACTCGAGTGAAAATGGGATTGAGCCTTTGCTTACTGACCTCATTCTGATGCAGTAGTTTCCTGCACCCATACAACCAAAGGAAAAATAGGAAAGCCAATGTTAATGTAGATTCTGTGGAAAAGTCAGTGTGAGGTGTCATAGGTTAAATGTTCCTGACTTGCATATCTTTTCCTAGTTTAGCCTGAAACCAGATCGCTTGTACTGCTTAAGTAGAGCCAGTGAAACAATTTAAGGCACTAATGATGAATTCATGCTTTGCGCTTCACTTCAGAGGCAATTAATATGGCATACGACAATTCTGTACACCAAAATATGTAGGTTGGGTTTTGTATAATCTTAAACTCACAGTCAGTTAATAAAAATTCATGTTATATTGCTGTCATGCTAGTAGAAAGTTGTAACTCAACCTGTGTCCTGGTTTTGGCTGGGAGACAGTTAATTTTCTTCCTAGTAGCTGCTGCAGTGCTGTGTTTTGGACTTAGTCTGAGAACAATACTGATAACACGCTGATGTTTTAGTTGTTGCTCAGTAGCACTTACCCTGATCAAGGACTTTCCAGTCTCCCATGCTCTGGCAACTAGGAGGGGTGCAAGAAGTTGAGAGGAAGCAAAGACAGGACACCTTATCCAGACTAGCCAAAGGGGTATTCCACATCACAGTATGTTATGCCCACTGGGGCGAGTCACCTGGAAGGACTAATTGGTGCTCAGGTAGGGCTGCGTATCAGTCAGCAGGTGGTGAGCAATTGTATAGTTCATCACTTGTGCTGTCTGAGCTTTCATTTCCTTTCTTGTTTTCTCCTATTACTATTGTTATTGTTTATATTGTTTCTATTATCACTATATTTTACTTTTTTGTTTTAGTTATTGGACTGTTATTATCTCAAGCTGTGGGGTTTACCTTCTTTGTATTCTCCTCCCCATCCCACCCTGGAAAGGGAGGAAAAAGGGGCTGTGAGTGAACAGCTCCATGATGTTGTGTTACTGGCTGGGTCTAAAGCAGGACAGTCTGTTTTCTTTTTAAGAACAACATTAGCATTAATAATATATTTCAAGTATGTTAATGAGGGGTTGGACACCTCTAACCTCTGCTCTATTCCTAGGGAACCCAAGCTGCTTAGGAGTCTTGTTTGCTTGCTTTAAAGCTCAAGAAATTTCAGTAAAACTTCTCTAAATCTCAGTTTGTGTGAATATAAGAAAATGATTTTCAGAGAGCCTATTTTATAAAAACACAATACTGTTGGCAGAAAACGGCCTCCTTATCTCCCTGACTGTCCTTACTGTTTCTTTCCAGTCCCCTCCTTTTCCACTGCCTTCTTTTGATTTTACTCTGAGAGAGAAATCATATGTAGAAAGGAATGAAGGTGAAAAGTGGAAATAAAGGAATAAAGATTTGTTTTGCTTTCTAGTCTTGGCAGATGTGTTCAAAGAGCCATAAGAATTTGCGTGTACAAATTTTTTACAACCAGTGACCTTCATGTTTTTTTGTAAATCTGTCTGAAATACTTCTTAGAACCAAATGCTGAGCCTTGGTGAACATTCTGCATAAAGATTAAAACAAGATAGGCTGCTGGTTGGGAAACCTTAAATTATCTGTAAGTGTTTGAATTGTAGTGGGAAGTGAAAAGGAAGTTGTGGGGTGGTAAGTTCTCTGTGGTGACAAAGCGCTTTTGGTTCTTCCTCGCAAAAATCTGTAGCTTATTAGGCTTCCCCAATAAGGGAAGGACTTTATCATGGGTGAAAATGTATTACTTCATATTCAGTAGGTCAAGTTTTCTTCAGATTGAGGAGGAATTGTGGCTTATGAATATCTGATGTGAGCAGGCAGTGTGCGCTTGCAGCCCAGAAAGCCAACCATATCCTGGGCTGCATCAAAAGGAGCGTGACCAGCAGGTCGAAGGAGGTGATCCTGCCCCTCTACTCTGCTCTTGTGAGACCTCACCTGGAGTACTGTGTGCAGTTCT